TGATCGTGCTACGTTACACCTGATTCTCAAATCTGATTTGTAGATCATGCATAATCATGCATAACCGAGCACAGATTATAATGTCGCTAAATTTATGGTGTTCAATATAATTTACTCAATATCAATATGTTAAAAAATATCATAAATGAACACTGCTTTAAAACATGTTATTTTATGATCCGAATACATTAAATTTATATTCAAACCATAAACGTCATATGGGGGGTGCCAGTAGAAACCAAGCAAATCGATAAATTTGAGTTTTTGAGATAATAAAAAACGAAAATGACAAAAAAGCCAGAAAAGCCAAAAAATTGGAAAGAATTTTATAATAATGTATTGGAAAATTTTCATGTAAAATTCCCAGCAGAATCAATATCATCAAAAGAATCAAAAGTACAGGTGTTGTAAAATACGTATATATTTTGTGTATTCTTTTATTTAATGAGCAAGTTTCTAATTTGCTTCACGTGAATAGATCCTTGAATGTGATTTGGTCGTTAATCTTTACGATGTTTTCAAAAAGAATGAAACGAATGAAAAGAATGAAATGAATGCAAATTATAAAAATAATGTAGAGAATGAGGAGTATGAAAAGGATAAAAAGGATGAGAAGAATGAAAAGGATGAGAAGAATGAAAAGGATGAGAATAATGAAAAGAATGAGAATAATGAAAAGAATGAGAATAATGAAAAGAATGAGAATAATGAAAAGAATGTGAATAATGAAAAGGATAAGAAGGATAAAAAGAATGGAATTAATGCAAGCCTTATTCGTATTTATGGTGATGTAGTTCACCTTTCGAAAAATCCCAATCCTCCAGATAATCATTCGGACACGGACAATCGTCCAGAAAATCAATCAGACAATCATCCGAACAATCTAGAAATTAACTTATCGAATCTTCGTTGTGTTATTTTAATAGTTGCAAGACGATTTGAAGTCGAAAAAGGATGTCGAATTACTATTAATTACAAGAAAGGGACATATTTTCAATTATTTATATATGCTAAGGAGATGCCAACAGGACTTGTCGTTAAAAAAGAAAAGGATTGTCAATTATTGATAGAGACGGATAACAGTGAAAATACGGTTAACAGTAAAAAAAATCAATTTCAAATAAATAGGTCAATAAAAAATTGTAGATTGATTTCTTTACATAACGGAGAATATAATGAAAAATTTGAAGAAAAACTTATTGACGATTTTGGAAAAAAAATTTTAAACAGCAAAATTGGTAGTTGGACTTTTTATTATAGTAAAGACAAAGACAAAGAAGGCAAAGACAAAGAAGGTAAAGACAAAGAAGGCAAAGACAAAGAAGGCAAAGACAAAGAAGGCAAAGACAAAGATAAACTTATTACCCGACTTGAGCAGACCAAGGATAATTTAATTACTTTACTTAGATCTAAAAAAAAACTTATGACCATACTTAAATCTGAAATGGATAGCCCTAAAAATACAGAACTTAAGCTCGGATTTATGATCAGTCCTGAAGAAGAACCCTTAGACGAAACAAAATTTAATGACAGTCTTGAAAAAGCAAGATTTGAAATGGGTGATTTAATTACTTTACTTAGAAATTCTGAGGGCAGTCCTGAACTTAAGCTCAAATTTATGATCAGTCCTGAAGAAAAACCCTTAGACGAAACAAATTTTATTGACCGTCTTGAAAAATCAAAAACTGAAATGTGTGATTTATTTAATGACATTGGCAGAAAAACTAAAGAAAAACTTATTCTCAGCTTTGAAGATAAACTTATGCTCAGTCTTGAAGAAAAACCCTTAGACCAAGCAATTTTTAAAAGAAATCCATTTATCAAAATATTGCGATTTTCTTTACAAATCGCAATCGCTTTATTTTATGATTATCCCGATATTACAGAATCAATCCTCACATGGATTACGGACATAACTAAACAATTGACGCTGAATGACAAGAAGGAAAATCCGAAAACGTTATATGATCTACCAATTCCGCATAATCAATTGAAAGACAATAAGGACAATAAGGAAAATCCGATTCCGCATAATCAATTGGAAGACAAAAAGGAAATCGAATTTGAAGCGGCAAAAATGTTATACTATGATGCAAATTATATGAGCGAACAATTGAAAAAATATAAAGATAATGAGGAAAATAATAATAAAAATAATAAAATTATTTTTGTTCCATATCTTAAAATGAAAGATTACAAAGATCAGATTCATCAATTAAGGGAATTGGCAAAACACTATGAAAACCGATGTTCTGAGATTATGAGTTTTGATCGTATCGATAAACAAAAGATAGAGAAGTTAAAAGATAACCTAGAAAACCAAAAGGATACAATCGGAATGCATAAATTTATACAAGAAAATAAAAAAAGGGATGCCGATTCAGCACATCTCTTGAGAAAAGAAACTGAAAGGCTCGTTCAGGTATGTTTTACATTATTTGATTATGAATTTCGAAAAGAAACAATGCTTTTTTTTTAAAAAAAAAAAAAAAAAAACAGGAAAGTAAAGCAAAGAAGGCAAAAGCACTCGAGAATTTCAATAAAAGCCTTGTCAAGTGGCTGGAGAATCAAAAAAATAAGGAAAGAATAAAAATAGTCACCAATACTTGTGCTTTAACTTTCAGCATTATTAAAGTTGTTATCCAACCTGGATACGTATTAAATGCGGTTAATGATGCAGAAGAAACACTCAAATCAGTGCAGAAGGGCATATCTGACCTAATTTTTAATGGGAATGATACTATTATTAACGATTTGATTGCTAGAAAAAAGGCAGATATCGAAAATGGTTTGAATATGGTAAAGAAAGCAAGTAATGACTTTCAAAATAGTGTTAATGAAGATAATATACATGCAATTACGGAGGGCACGGAGAAAGATATGGACGATTTAACTGATAAAGCTAAGGAAAGGTAATCTAGAATGCTCATATGTGATAAACTATCAACATTAAAGTTAACAAATTGCTATTATTTTCTATTAGTGCTGAAAAAGATCCAAAAAAAATCTTATTCAGACGTACTATGAAACGAATTAGTGACAGTATTAAGAAACTGGGTGAACAATTAAATGTATTTATGATCATTTCTTTGATCGTACAAGTTAGTTAAACTTTTACCGATAATTACTAAATGAAATTCAATTTTACAATAATCTAATAGTCGCTCGGTAAAGATATTGACTGTGTACAAGATTATATAGATTCTTTATACATGTATATTGATTATATTGACGCACAAGTTGATGCAGAGGTCGACGAAAATAAAAAATATGAAAAACTTGCAGAAATTAAAAAGAAATTTGATGCAGGCACTAAAAAACATGATCGACTTAAAAAAATGATTGAATCAGAAACTAAATTACAAAATGATGAATTGAAAATTTCATTATTAGAACACCTCGTCTATACTAGATACTGCATGACGATATTCATGGACAAGTATCGTCGTGCTTACAAATATTGGTCCCTATCTGAATCCAAGTTGAAACTCTCAGTTATAGAATTTCATGAAATCAATATTAATGCAATGTTCAGAGATCTTGATGAATTTTTAAATAGTAAACCTCAGCTAAAACGGACTACTTTTGAATTTAATGATTCAGAGACTATTGCTAAATTTAAGGAGAATAAATCGGCTACTTTTGAATTTAATGATTCAGAGACTATTGTTAAATTTAAGGAGGATAAATCGGTTGAAATTAAGATTGATCATGATAAACATAAATTAAATAAGTACGCTCGTCTAAGGGTTCATGCATTTAGAGTATACTTAGAGGGAGCTGGAAATGTAGATGACCAAATTGCTCTTTATATTGGTCATTCTGACGAATTTAAAGACAGAGATAAAGATGGTCATACATATATTTTTAATTTAGAATCTTCAGAAGGAGGATTTGAATCCAAAGAAAGAGGATTTGAATATCGAGTATATAATGATTATTCTCCCAAATTTGATATAGACCAAAAATACATAGATCTCGATAACATATATTATGATGAACGAGATAAAGATTATCACTTTACTCCAACTCCATTTAGTGAATGGACAATTAGCCTTTGTAAGAATGACAAAGGGGAATATCCTAATATAACCGGATTAAAATCAATTAATGTTCACTTGATGGTATATTGTTATTTTAAATCTAAAGGAAGCCGGGCAAGTGAACAATCCGACGAGTTAACCGAATTAGATTAACATTCACTGTAGTTACAGTAAATTTTTGTCGAGATTTTTACCCAAACCCCAAAATTGTCATAATTCGTTGAATCTATATTATTATGTATCAACTTGAACGTTCGAAAAATTTTTCTATTTATATTTTATTATTATTTTATATTTTCTTTTCTATTTTTATTTATCATTAGGATGATTTAATTCTAAAGATGAAATTCATTGAATACATTATTTCTCAAAACAGTTCGTTTAAAGTATTAAATTGAATAGACAAACATTTCAAATTTTGATAACTATTTGCAAGAATGGTTAGATATGCTAGAAGAAGAAAGGCGACGATTTGAAGATGAGGACACTAAAGTAGATATAGATAAAAATGAATCTCCTGTAAATGATACTCATCTTGTGGTTGACAATAATACGAAATGGGAATTGGCTACCCTTTCTAAAAAAATTAGAGTTAAGTAGAATTTTGTAGACACATTTTAAAATTTATAACAGTTAAGTAAAATGTAGATAATATCGTATTTGTTCTTAAATAGTGTTGCATTGCTAAATTATTGCTAAATTTTTACTATATATTATTTCAATGATTTAAATGATGGTGATATAGTATTTGAATCTATTTTTCAAAGAAGACTTTTAATATATTCAATACGGTTATTAAATCTGATAACATGAACTTGGATTATGTCATCAAAATGGCTACAGAACGTTGTCTAATCAGGAAAATGCTATTGAATAACTACAAAAGGCAAAAAATAATAGTCTTCAAAAGGCGGTTGATGATGAAATTTAAACAATTTATTATCTGGTGATAAATTATATCAATTTTATTTTACAAAATCATATATACTTAAATGTTTATATATAAAGAATGGAATTTGAAGTAATATTATTCTATTAAATATTATTATGATTCTAGTCTATTATATACAGTTATTTTTGACAAACGTGAAAGTATAATTTAATCTCTATAAATTTTAAGCTTTTTTTATTGAATATATTCTATTATATATATGTAATAAGCTTTAGTTAAATCTAAAATCTTTGTTTTCAAATGCCTCAATTGTCACAATCACAGTTAAATTTGATATTCATAAGTTATATGATTTTTAAAGCATAATAATATATATACAATTGCTTGCATATATAATGGTCTTAGCAAGACCAGTCTTATAATACTTTTATAATAATTTATAGGCATTTATTACTTGATATTTATGAACTGGTTCTTACAATTGATGTTATATACAGACCAGTATACAAACACTTCATGATGGCACAGCAACGATAGCAAAAGTAAGGTCTAATTCTTTTGGTCACATGATCGTTAACAAGATTTTTGGCTTTTTAATTATTATTAACTAGATTTAGTCTGAACCAATCTAATTAAAAGCGCATTTATAGCCAGTTTAATATATAATTTATTAATCAAATCTAATTTTATTTTGTTGGTATTATATCAATTTTAGTAATTTTTATTATTATAGTTTGGTTATTATCTTGAACATATATAATATCTTGGACATATTTTTGTTTGTCCATGAACATGGACTGTTCATATTCAATAGATGTCCATGTCCACATCCATTGACATCACTGGGTACAAAAGCTAAGTACCAGTATTTTTTTTGTTACTTCTTGCAGTTTTTTGTTCTTCTAACCTTTTCTTTCTTGTAGGTTTGTTGATCTTAAACATGCGTCAAAAATGGAGATCTAGACCCGAGACTAGTACAAAAGCTAAGTACCAGTATTTTTTTTTTCTTGTTACTTCTTACAGCTTTTCGTTCTTCTAACCTTTTCTTTCTTGTAGGTTTGTAAATCTTGAAATGCATTGTAAATAAAGATCTGAATTCAGAACTGGTACAAAAGCTAAATACTAGTATTTTTTTTTCTTGTTACTTCTTGCAGTTTTTGTTCTTCTAACTTTTTCTTTTTTGTAGATTTGTGGATCTTGAAAATGCATCGTGAGTGAATAGAGATCTAGACCCGGGACTGGTACAAAAGCAAAGTACTAGTATTTTTTTTTTCTTGTTACTTCTTGTAGTTTTTCATTTTTCTAACTTTTTTTTTCTTGTAGAATTGTGAATCTTAAACATGCATCAGAAATAGAGATCTAGACTCAGGACTAGTATAAAAGCTAAGTACTAGTATTTTTTTTTTCTTGTTATTTTTTGTAGCTTTTCGTTCTTCTAACCTTTTTTTACTTGTAGGTTTGTGAATCTTGAAAATATATTAGAAATGGAGATCTAGACCTGGAACTAGTGCAAAAGCTAAGTATCAGTATTTTTTTTTCTTGAGTTTGTGAATTTTGAACATGCATCAGAAATAGAGTTCTAGACCCAGAACTAGTACAAAAGCTAAGTACCAGTATTTTTTTTTTCTTGTTACTTCTTGCAGCTTTTCATTCTTTTAACCTTTTCTTTCTTGTAGATTTGTAAATTTTGAATATGCATCAGAAATAGAGATCTAGACCTGAGACTAGTACAAAAGCTAAGTACTAGTATTTTTTTTTTCTTGTTACTTTTTGTAGTTTTTCGTTTTTTTAACTTTTTCTTTCTTGTAGGTTTGTGAATCTTAAAAATACATTGTGAGCAAATAGAGATCTAGACCTAGAACTAGTGTTTTTATGAACTAAACTGAGCTGAACTTTTGGTCAAGTTTAAATTCAGTTCAAAATTGAACTAAACTTGAACTTTTTTTAAAAAAAGTTCAGTTCAGGTTTAATATTGAACTTTTAAGTTAAGTTTAGATTCAGTTTAGGTTTAGTTCAAAGTTCATAAACATGTTCAAGTTCAATGAATTATATATATACAGTATATATTTATATTATATACTGTCAAAAATAATTCACTTTCAATAATAAACTATTTTTTTTTTTTAAAAGAAAAACATAAAAATTTCTTATATCTAAAAATAAGTTATTTATATAATTATCAG